CACCATCCTTCTCACCATCTTTCTATACCCCTCACATCAAATGGACTTGGGAACTTAAGGCCAAGCCCTGCCCCACTCTGATCATTTGGATTTTTTCCCATAGATATATATATTCCAGCTGAAACTCTGAGTCCTCCCCCAGCCCACAGGATTAGGACAAGAAAGCTGAGCCCAGCTGGCCGAAGTTGCCGCTCAGCATCTGGAAGATTCTCGCCAACAGCACTAAGGTTGCTGGGGAAGTGGGAGGGGCAGGAACACAAGAGTTTGGGGTTTGAGTCCCTTACAGCTAAGTGCCTGTGCAAGAGAAAGTTTCATTCTTTTAGGAAGAGATAGGCCATAGTTTCCAGCAACATCTCAAAAAGGGTGATGAAGACGGTGTTGAAGAGCAGGAGAGGCAAGCAGAGAAGAGCACTGAGTCCCGAGCTTGGAATCAGAAGTCCCAAAGTTCAGTCGCAGCTTTCACTTGAGCACATTACCTAGGGGTTTCAACTTCTCCAGTTGTAAAATAGAAGAGTTCACAGTACTGGAGACTTCTGAACCCAGCTGGAAAAGCAGACAAGAGCTCACTATCCAGCCAGGAGGGAGCACTGGATAGCAGCAGAATGAGTGCCCCAGGCAAGAGGAATGGAAGAGCCTGGATATAAGAAACGGAGGTCAGATATAAGAAAGTTGGCTCCACTCCCTCTCTGAGGACACAACAAAGGTGGGAAATGTCCCCCCGGCCAGCCTAGCCACTTTATGCCAGGAACCCACACATATGTACCTCACTTCGTTGCCTAAGACATCACTTTCCCCTTGGTGGGGGCAGTGCGCCTGAGGTGAGAAGTCTGCAGCTCAGCAAAGCCAGCGTGGCACCGCTGCCCGGTTGCCTGGGATTAGCGCCAAATCCTGGGCTGCTCTGTGCAGGGATCACACTTTGTCAGCTTCACAGCTGCTTAGCTGCACCCAGTCCACATTCTCCCCTTGCCCCTCACCAGCCCCTCCTCACACCCAGCCCTTATTCTCAGAGGGAGACAGGGACCCTGCCTCTGCCCACAACAAGCAGGGGAGAGACCCTAGGGATAGGAGACAAGCCAGGTTGGCGTCAGTCCCAACAAATACCCACACCCACAGAGAGCCCTCAGGAGTAACTCGATCCAACACAGGAGGGAGAGGCCAGTGAAGGCTCTCCTGCCCAGCCCTTCAGAGGGCTCTTCAGAGGTGGCCTTGGCCAGTTACCTTGTCCTTTGAGCCACCCACCCTTCTCTCCAGATGGCTCCTGTCCTTGGAGAGACAGAGGCAGGAGACTCAGAAAGCACCCACAGCTGTGACTTCTCAGCCCCAGCTTCCTGGAGCAGCCTTCTCCGGAGGCCCCCTAGCTGCTGGGAGCCCTCCCATTTACCCACTACCCTCACACATACTAACTTTTCTCTCTCTCCCTCTCCCACACATACACACACCACACCAAGCTCTTATCCCCAACTACATTTGTCTCTCCCCAGCCTAAGTGGGGGCTCAACCCCTGGCTCTGCCCTCTACACACCTCAGTCCCTGCTCCAGACAAAAAGTTGTCAGGAGTCTTTCTCAAATTTCTTCCAGGAAAAGGCTTCAGGAAGGACAAGACAGGAGGAGGGCAGGTAGCTGAAGCCAAAAAAGCTGGATTGTCTGAGTTTTGGTGCCAAGTCTCTCCTTGTCTCCCAGAGTGATAGACTGGGCTGGGTCACTGCTGAGAGAGGCCTCTGTAATGCGTGGGTTAGGGATGACAGAGGAAGTAGAGGGAGGTGTAGGGTCCGGGAAGAAGGACTCCAGAGTACACTGTATGCTTCTGGGACAGCTAATGGCCATTCTGAGGACAGAGATGGGACAAAGGGTAAAGGGGAACTGCTGCTGGGAAGACAAGCCCGTCCTCAGGCCCCTCCCCAGGCCCTCTGCCTGGTACCCTCTCTCTTCTCATGTGGGAGACAAGGAGCCTCCTTTTGCCCTCTTTTCTGGGGGCAGGGGAGAGTGAGGAAGGGAACAGCCTCTACCCTCTAATCCTTGCACATCTGTGGTGGCTGCAGGACAGACCTCCTGTCGATTGAGAGCTGGACACCAGAGTTACAGAAAAGCTAATTCTCTAAGAAGGGTTTTCTAGCTGCCTCCTGCAGAGCACCTCTCCCGTTACCCATGCTCACCCTGCAAAATTCTTTCCCTTCACCCAGGCTGTGCAATGATTCTCTCACCTGTGGAGACCCAGCTTCAGAGGGTCTGAGCCTCCACTTTGTAGCATCAGGGCGCTCCAGGTGATGTCAAGGGACCTCGGGCCGACCCCTCCCAATCAGCACAGAGTCCAAGGTAGGAACTCAAGAGGGTGCCTACAAGTCGTCCTCGCCACTGGAACCGCTGGGCTCAGCCTCAGGGGATGCGCGCAGCTCACGAGCCAGAAGCGCTACCAGGCCCTGGGCGCGGAGGAGGAGCCCGCCACCCAGGAACAGGACCCCACACAGCACGAGCAGCGACAGCACGCCCAGCACGGCCGCCTGCACCGTGCGCACGCCCGCGGAGGGCTCAGCCAGCGGCCCGGACTGGTTGCAGCAGGCGCTAGGCCAGGGGGCCCTGGTCGCGGCACCAGCCTGTGAGCTGTTCATGCTCCCGCCCGCTGCCCAGATGTGCACAGGGCCACCACATGTGCCCGAGCAAGGGCCAGCGGGGCGGGCCGGCAACGGAGCATGGGAGGGACCACCTGAGGGGCGGATCCCGGGAACCCTACACCCCCACACCTCACCCAGCGCCCATTCTCCCTAAAAGAGGGCTCTTCAAGTGTGGGATTCAACCCTTCCTCAAGAGATCCCCATTCTCACAGCTAGAAAGTAATCTCTTCTCAAGGCCCACTTCCCCACTCAACGAGAATCTCGCTCCTGTCTCCAGCCAGCCCTATCTCCCAGACATTTTCCTCTCCCTTGGCAAGAGGGCTTCTGGCAGCACTTCCCATACAGCCTGAAAATCAGGTTCTCCAGACCCCCATCTTTGATGCTGGCTAGAAGGCTATAAGGGCTACTCACAGCCTGGACTTTCTGTCCCCAGCCAAGGCTCAGCGCAGCTAGGTAACCCAGGTGGCTGCTGGGACAGAAGGTGGCAGGCCAGCTCCACCACCTGAGTGCTTCAAACCTTCCACTCCTATCATCCCCTTGGGGATCCCCTGGGCCTAGTTTAGCAGGTCTGTCTCCTCCGTCCTCCACAGCCAAAAATGAAAGGTAGAGCAGTGGAGTTTCAAGACCTACCCTAAGCCTTTTTTCAAGGCCCATAGGATGGGCCAAGTTGTTCAGAGAACGGGAGAGCACAGGTTTGAACCAACAAGATCAGAAGCAGACTGTAAATCTGACCCCTTCCCTCCACCTCGCTTCTCACAGGGTAGACAGCAAACTACAATGTCAAAAAAACATTACTGCCCTGTCCTCCAAGGGTAGCCCCCTGCCAGCTGAGCACCCCAGTCATGCTAGAGGGGGCACCACAATCCAGCTGCAGAAAATAAAGTCTGGGGAGGCAGAGATGAAGGAGGGGCCCGTCAAGTCTTATGGCTCTTTTACAAAAACAGTCACTGCCAGCCAACACTTGTCCAGGTCACTCCTTGAGGAGGGACTGCCGGCTAGGAGGAAATAAAGAAGGACCCCTCAGAATGCATCTGGCCAAGTGGCAGTCATATTTGATTCAGGGCTGCCTGAGAATGAGCACTCTCCAACCTCTAATTCCCTGAAGCCCCAGACCCCTAGATGATTCCAAAAGATCAAGGATAAGACATCACAAACCCCAGTCATGAAGCAGTGTATGACCAAGTAAGGTAGCATGGACCAGACAGACATGTAAATCCTTTATTGGCATCCTGGCTCCAGGATCATGGGCAAGACCCTTTCTACTTTCTCCCCCAGCACGACCACCCCCTCCAAACACAGAGTTCACACAGTGTGTTAGAATCACTACCTAAATGGTAGCTAAAGAGGATTGTAAAACAAAGAGTCGATCAACCAAAAGCATACTGTACAATAACATTCACTGAATCTGAGTGTGTTTGGAAATGAGAGCACAGGTTACCAAAGCAATGTCCAATCAACCAGGCAGAGACAACCCACCCTGGAAGAGTGTCAATAAATGCAGGTCTCAACATGGCCAATCTCTCTCCAGAGAGAGAAACCTCAAATCAGATGTACTTATCAAGGGCATGTAGGGAGCTCTGGTGGCCTAGTGGTAAGGAGTTATACTGCCAGCCCAAAGACATGCGGTTCATATTTACCAGCTGCTCCTTGGGAGAAACAGGGGCAGTCTCCTCTTATACTATTTACAGCCTCTGAACACCTGCTGGAGGGTCAGCTATGAATCGGTTCCAACTTGATGGCACACAACAACAATGCACTGAGAATACAGAGGAAAAACTCTTTGAGGCCACCATGAAGCAAGATAAGGTAACAGGAAAGTCAAAGACATTATAATTTCCTTAAAAAGAAGGCATGGCTTAGTTATACCAAAAACAACAAATTCTGATCCAGTGTCCCCATGCATGGGGACTGACGACAGTCATATCAGAAGAGTAACACCTGCCTGTGTAAATGTTCAATAAAGCACAAAATCAGACAGTCATAATCGATGTTTAATCTCTCATCATTATGGAGTAATGACCTCAGTGTACATCAGTGTCCTCACAGCTCTGCCAGGAAGGGTTAACATATCAGGAAAGAACACAGCTCAAGAAGAGATTGTGCAACCCAATCTCACATTCTCAGTTTTATTCACCATCCTTCGTAGGGGCTCTTCTGTACAGTGGGGAAGGAACAGGTGTGGAGAGACAGAGTTAGGCTGGACTTACTTGATCATCAGCAAACAAGGACCAGAAAGACTGGTGACTACAGAACATGAAGAGGGGGGATGCCCCTCCTCCGTCTCATCCAAGGACCCAGAGCAGGTTTCCAGAGCCTCAAGGGCCTCAACAGTATCATCCCCAGAAGGCATGGTCTGGGAGCTGTAAAGGAATGCCAAGGCCCTCCTGAGCCCTAGAGAGCAAGGGTGTCTTTGATAAGCCTGCGCATGGTGGTAGTGACTGAGGTCCCCAGGGCGTCGGTGATTTGGAAGGAGATCTTGTAGAGATAGGGCTGCACGTCCCGCAAGCCTGTGTCAAACACGTTGTCCACCTCTGACTGCGTGGGCATCTTGGGCAGATACTCATGCCGGTTCATCACCTCCACAATGTTGATGATCTTCTCACAGAGCTTCTCACCCACCTTCTCCCGGCATATCTGTCGCTCCTGCTCTGTGGCCAGGGCCACCACATGCACCTTGACAGTCCACACTTCCCATGGGATGCACTCGTCCGGGAAAGGCCAACGCGACTTCTTCTTCTGGTAGAACTCCAGGGACATCTGCCCCAGCCCATCACCACCAGAGTTGCGCAAGGCATCCTGGGAGAGAAGGGAAACAGGTGAGCAGGCCAAGAACTCTCAAGCATTTTCATCTGGTGTAGGCCTGCTACCTACACCCCAGGGAAGCACCCAGCCCATCCATGTCAGTCCCTCAAGGCAGTAGGGAACAGAGGCCCAAACAGAAGAAAAGATTTGTGTGAATGACAGCAAACTTCAACCCTGAAATTGGGTGTTAAGCAAGCAAACAAATTCTGTCTCCTTTCCCAAATCCTCCAGTTCTGTTATACTCTGGTATAGAAATCACTACCATTTTTAAGCACTCCTCTGTGCCAGACATGATAATTTCCCTACTGGCTCCTCTCAACAAGTCTATGAGGTAAGTAAACTATCTCCATTTCACTGAGGCAAAATGAGGCTCAGAGACATAAAGGTAACTCTGCCAAAAGTTACACTGCCAGTGAACAACAAGGCCAAGATTTTAATTCAAAAATAGATGTCATATTTCAAAATCTATGCTTTTCACATTTACTTTAGGTCCTTCTTCCCCTAAAACTCCACCCCTGGTGTCCCTATCATTAAAACTTTTCTTGAAAATCATGATCTCTCCATTGTCTCCGTCCCAGGCAAACTGTTATTTCCCTTCTGCCCTGAAAATTTAACACACAGTCTTCTACCCTAATCTGTATATGACAGTCCAAATTCAGTCTCGTTCTAAGAAGGGGCAAGCAGCAAAGGAAGACTGTAAGGCCTAAAGAAACTAAGGAAGAGAATGAAGTAGGGGTGTGGACAGACAGACCAGATCTGGTTGCTTCTACCTCTTCTCTAAAGAGCAATTAAGACCCCGGGTCCCTACAATTCCCCCTGGGGCATAGGTGACCCCTACCATCATTCTCCTCGGGCAGACAGGATCTTAAAGAAGTACCTGTCCAACTGAGTTACTGCCAACCCAGAAATACTCCCTCAAATGTTTAACTATCCATCAAGTTACATGATCTTGACTAATAATAACAATGGCTAACTTCAATATGCTCACTGTGTTCCAGGCTGTTCCAAGCAATTGAGACATCTGACTCATTTAAAACTAGGTGAGGTGGGTACTATTAGCCCTTCCATTTAAAAGGAAAATAAAAAAGAAAAAAACAAACCGACTGATATTGAGTCAACTCAGTGACGCACAGTGGCAGGGCCTATTGGAAAGAACAAACTGCCCATAGGATTTCCAAGGTAATAAATCTATAAAAGCAGATTGCCATAACCTTCTCCCACAGAGCAGCTGGTAGATTCAACCATGCTCTTGACCCCACTACCCCGCATACCTTACACAGACATGCACTAGGGGTGAGACAGCACTTCCTCCCTTGAAGGGTGACTGGGAACCCTCTTCTGAGTTCAGAGGTCCCAGAGGAACGAAGGGAGCTAGCTTTCTCACTAGGACGTGGCCTATGACAGGGTCCCAAGTGACACTAGGCAAACCCCTGCAATGAGCACACAGTGTGGGAAAACAGGCAGGTAATCCTCCTCCTGTGACCCCAGAGCTTGTGCCTTTTAGAAAAAAAAAGATTCTTGTGTTACTTTTCAGAACTGGAAAAAATGCCCATTTATTGATTGATAAAGTGAAATACTGAGATTCTGTACAAAGGCAAAATTCAACACTAACAGCCTGGTGTGCCCCGACCTCCTCTTTCTCATATAGGCAGTACATACAAACATTCATAGAATGTCCAAAAGGGACACTCCACATCAAGGGCAACTCCTCCCTCTCAGGGATGTTTGTACAGGATCAAAGGATCAGACAATGGTGAAAAGTAAAGAAAAAAGGAAGCAGAGAAGGTGTTGGTAGAGCAAGCCGTGGAGTCAGGGAAGAGTCAAGAAAGACTCCAAGGGACCTGAATGTAAATGCTCGACTTCTTGGCTCTTCTCCCCGCAGGTGTTCTCAAAGCCATTCCCCAGTGCCTGTACACATACCCACCTTTCCCAGAGGAGCTCTGAACTCACCTTTTCCTTACAACCTAAAAAACCCCCAACACACATTCTCTGGAAGTGTGAACTGGTCCAACAGCAAGCCACAGAGGAGAGGCACTCAGGGCCCCCATCTGCCATCTGGCAGGGTACACTCCTACCTTGAATTCCCCGACAACCTTGCGTAGGGCCCGGTCAAGCTCGTCAGAGGAGACGCGCACATAGGTGAAGTCAATAAAGTCACAGTCAACATCCTGGGTACCCACGGTGCCGATGGAGTAGGTGCCCTCCTTCTTGTAGTGGAATTTGCCCGTGCTGCGGTGCAGGAGCACGGTGTGCAGCACGGCCAGCATGGCCTCCTCCACCTGCCGCATCTCCACCGACACCTCCAGCACCTCCGAGCGGCAGTTCATCCCGACACTGGGGGCCCACAGCTGGATGGGGCAGGGATTAGGACCAGGAGCTTCAGCCCACCCAGGAGCTACCCTGTAAAAGGAACGCAGATCAGGATGCTGAGGCCTCTGAAAGATCTGCATGTACCTGCTCACTTCCTGCCAGGTCCAGCCCAGCCTAGGCCATTCTACTGGTCCTTCTCTCCATTTCAGCATCACACACTAGGGGAAGAATCATTGGTTCTCAAAGTCACCAGTCCAAACAAGCAGCCCAGGCCTGGATTCCACTTCAGCATCCAGTGCCATTTATAGGAAACACTCTCCATGCACTGCCTCGTATGGCGATCCAAAGACAAGCATGGCCTCTGGCCTTGAGAAGTGGACGGAACAGAGGCAAGGCAGCGAAACCACGACCACAGTGGTGAGACTATGGAGTCGGGGCGAGAGGGGAGCAAAGGAAAGGAAGGATGGGTCTGATTTCCTGCACCCTTGTTAACGCAGCTGGACAATGCTGAGGGCAGTGAAGAGTGAACGATCATTGCCGGAGCTCAAGGAATGGCTCTTAACTACTCTACAGTCACACCAAATTTCATACAAAATTTCTGGGGTCATCCAGACTCCAGTGAAAAATCTTGCAGCTATTCATGCAGAAAGATCAAACACAGAGATCAGTGACAGGTCTTTACAATAATGGTAGTTCCATAAGCAGCACCACGGAATGGGCAGGAGAGAAATGCAAGGTACTAAAGCCTGGGGGCTGAATCCCAATTCTACCACATCTTGCTCTGTAACCCTGGGCAAATCATACAACCTCTTTGAGCCTCAACTCCATCTGCAAAGTGGAGATTGTTGTGAGGATTAAGTAATTTTCCTTTTTAAACAGAAAATGCTGTGAGGAACAGTGACTTGCAAGCCAGACAGGCTGAGTCGGAACCACAGCTCTGCTGCTTGCCCACTGTGTGACCTTAGGCAAGCTACTTCTGCTTAACTACAATGTGGCCAGTCTAGGGCAAAATAAAACACCCTCAGTCATTGTTATCAGGTAGGTCTCAACCCTTCAGGACAGAGCAGAATTGTCCCATCGGGTTTCTAAGACTGTAAATCTTTATACAAGCAAATTGTTACAGCTTTCTCTACAATCTCTAAAAAGAGACATTCATAATCATCACAACTGGACCAAATAAATAACATAATGATAGATGGAGAAAAGATTATCAACAATTCCATTTTACTTCAATCCGTGTGACCAACATGCAAGGTAACAGCAGTCAAGAAATTAAAAGACCTGTTGCCCTGGGAAAACCTGCTGTCAAGGACCTCTCCAAAGTGATTAAGAACAACAATGTCAGTTTAATGTCACCAAGGTGCACTTGACCCAAGCCACAGTATTTTTCAGCTGCTTCATATGCATGTAAAAGTTGGACACTAAATAAGGAAGACAAAAGAAGAACTGATAGTTTTTTGTTTTTTTTGGTTTTTTTTTTATTTTTTTTTTTTAGAACTGATAGTTTTGAACTGTGATGTTGGAAAAAGTATTAAGTATATTACAGACTGAGGGAAGAACAAATAAATCTGTATTGGAGAAGTTCAACTAGGTGGCTCCTTCAAGGCACAGAGGATGAAATAGTCACTTTGAGCATGTTGTCAAGTGGTGCCAGTCCTTGGAAAAAGAGATCATGCTTGGAAAAGGAGAGGGTCAGGAAAAAAGAAGCCTCCCACTTCCCCATCCTGCAGCAAGATGGACTGACACAGTGACGGTAACGATGGGCTTGAGCAGGACAGAAATCCTGAGGATGGCACAGGATAGGGCAAGATTGTATCTCTTGTTTACTGAGTCACTATGAGCTGGAGTTGAGTTGCTGGCACCTAAGAACCTATGCTGAAAAGGTTGGCTCAAAAATTAAGTTAATATGTAAAGCACTGAAAAGAATGCCAGATAAGTAGTAAGCACTCAACAAGTATTGGCTGGTAGGACATTCTATTGCTGAAAACAAAGAGGACTTGAAATGCTTGCTGCATATGAGTAAAAACTACAGCCTTTAATAGGAATTCTAACTCAGCATAAAGAAGACAAAAATTCTCACCACCAGGCCAAAAGGCAGCATCAAGATAGATAAGAAAGAAGGTTCAAGTTGTCAACAATTTCATCTTATTTGGCTCCATAATAAACGTCCTTGGCACTAGCAGTCAAGAAATCAAAAGAAAGCACAACCAGGAGAGAATAACACTGATGAATGGGACCTTCTAAAGATTAAGTCTCTGTGTGCATCAAAAACTTTTTCCAATACAGTGAAGGGAAAACCTACTGATTGGGAAAAAACATTTGGCAATGGTCTCATATGAAGACACAAGTCTCATAACTAATGTTTATAGATGACTACGGGCCTCCAAAAAAAAAAGACTGATAACCCAATTATAAAATAGGCAAAAAACATGAAAAGACTTTTCACAGAGGATGACATTCAGATTGCCAACAGACACATGAAGAAATGCCCAAAATCACTGGCAATAAAAGATGCAAATCAAAGCCACAATGAGATGTCATCTCATCCCACTAGCAGTAGCAAAATTTAACAGAACAAGCAATAAATATTGTAGAAAATATGGAAAGACTGGAACTCTAATACACTATTGGTAGGATTGTAAAATGTTACAAACACCCTGCAAGGCAGTTTGGCATTTCCTAAAAATGCTTAACATGTCTACAGACAAGAGAGGATAAAACAGATGAATGGGACCCTCTAAGAATCAAATCCCTATGCACATCCTAAAACTTCTCCAACAGGGTAAAAAGGGAAGCCACAGACTGGGAAAAAAATATTTGGTAAAGACATGTCAGATAAGGGACTTATATCTAGAATTTATAAAATACTCAAGCACCACAACAAGATAAAGGTAAACAACCCAATTGAAAAATGGGCACAGGATATGAACAGACACTTCAACAAAGACATTCAGATGGCAAACACATGAAGAAATGTTCAAAATCCCTAGCTCTAAGAGAGATGCAAATCAAAACAACTATATCATCTCACCCCAGTAAGAATAGTAAAATTTAACAGAACAGCAAACAACAAATGCTGATAAGGCTGTGGAGAAATTGGAACCCTTATTCACTGTTGGTGGGAGTATAAAATGGTGCAACCACTATGGAAGGCTGTATGGTGTTTTCTCAAAAAGTTGCAAACAGAAATACCATTTGACCCAGCAATTCCACTACTGGGAATACACCCCAAAGAAATCTTAACCCAAGTAGATATATGCACACTCATGTTTACTGCAGCTTTGTTCACAATAGCAAAGAGTTGAAAACAACTTAAGTGTCCATCAACAAACAAACGGATAGAGAAACAGTGGTATACACACAATGGAATACTATGCTGCTTTGAAAAACAGGGAACTCATAAATATTATACAAAATGGGTGACCTTGGAGAACATTATGCTGAGTGAAATATCTCAGTCACAAAAGGACAAATACTGCATAGTGCCAACATTGTAAAATGGGACTGACATCAGGGTTGGGGGGAGACTGACAAAAATGGGATAAATTATGTATACTGCATTGAAAGAGATGAGGGAGAGAACTGATTAAAAGGGTTATATGATTAGGTACTATTGTCATGACAGGAGTACAGAATGAAGGCTGCATGATGGAGTGGACTTGGGAGGGGGGGTGAATTGTGTAACAATGAAAGAATTTTTCTTTTACTTTTCAAAGAGAACAGTGAACTGGTGGGAAGGGGCAGGCAGGGAGAAAAGTGCAACAATGAATGAACAGAAATCCAAACTCTCTGTAAACATTCATTAAAATTAATTTTTTTAAAAAAGAAGCTTAACATAGAGATTCTATGTGACCTAGCTATTCCACTGCTAGGAATATACCTCAAGGAAAACAGAACTGAGACACAAATGGAGATTTGTATACCAATGTTAATGGTGGCATTATTCCCAAAAGCTAAAAAATGGAAAAAGCCCAAATGTCTACCAATGACTAGATTAAGACATTGTGGTACATTCACATGATGGAATACTATGTGGCACTCAGGAATAACAATTTTGAAAAATATTATATAACATGGGAGAGGCTAGCGAGCACTATGCCCAGTGAACTAACTCAGGTGGAGTGAACTAACTCAGGTGCATAAGGATAAACACTGCATAAGACCATTATTGTAGAAACAGAAAGATAATGGGTAAGATGCGTATGGATATCCAAAGAGGGAAGGGGAAGGGGCACAGAGGGGGAGGGGGCAGGAGAGGGAATCACAGGGTCACAGAGTTTGGTGGGGAAAAATGGGGGGGAAAACAAACCTCAAACAAAATCTACATGAATTAAACACAATGTTAATGATTTTATACAAACCAATTTAAAAAATTAAAAAATAAAGAAATCTTAAAAAGTATTACACTGGGTAAATGTGCTGTCAAGGACATCTCTAAGGTGATAAAAAGCAATGATGTTAAAGACTAAGGTGCATTTGATTCAAGCCATGATCACTTCAATCACCTGTTATGCATCTGAAAGTTGTACAATGACTAAGGATGACAGAAGAATAGATGCTTCCAAGCTGTGATGTTAGAAGAGTATTGAATATCCACGGACTACCAAAAGAACATGTTTTGAGGAAAGTATAGCGAGGATGCTCTTTGGAGACATGGATGGCAAAGCTTCATCTCACACACATCAGGCATGTTGTTACAAGGGGCTGATCCCTGGAGGAGGACATCATACTCGGAAAGATGGAGGGTCAGTGAAAGAAAGGAAGATCACCAACAAGATAAACTGATTTAGTGGCTGTAACAATGCGTTCACGTATATGAGAGACAATAGGACAGAACAGGCAAGGTAGGGCAAGCTTCAAATTCATGTTCATGGGGTTGTTATGAGTTCACACAACAGCACCTAACAACAACTGCTGAGAGATGTTGCAAAGTTACATCACGGCAGTGGTGGGGAGGGTGGAAGAGACTTAAGAAACAGAATTTAATAACTATAGATGAGCCTGGAGGAAGCAGTCA